TTCAAATTCATAATATCCTCTGCAAGGGTACCACAAATAAAAGTAATCCACAAAAAAAGGAAAGAATTTCGCGATGCGGTCCACTGGCTGCCGCTGTCGCTGCCACTGTCGCCGCCGCTTGCTGTTGTTGCTGCTGTTGCATGTTGTTGGTGTAGCATTGTTGTTGCTGCTGCTGGTGCTCTTGGTGTCATGTCGTTCATCAGCGTAACAATTTTTATTGCTGTTCGGACCGCAACTTTGTTGTCGATAAAATTTTAATTCGCTTTGGCTTACATTTTTTACGGTTCCTTCGATTTCAATTTGCGGCACAACCAAACCAAAACCAAAAAAAACCAAAGAGGCAATGGAGCGGTGAAAGACTTAATGAATTGAAGTAGTTTTTCTGCGTGTGGCGATGGGCCATGGGGCATGGGGCATATGGGAATTCCCGGGTCTCCAGCAGGGCATTCCCCATTCGTTGCAGCTCAATCTGCGGGGCATTTTTGCATGCATCCTTCGGCGGGCCCTGCGCCAAATTGATTTATAGCGTTCAAACATGTTTCCCCCAAAAATAAAAAAGGAAAGAAACGGCGAAAAGGGGGAACGGGGGAGAGACCTGGGGCTGGAACGGCGATCACGTCCCGTCCCCAATTATAAACACAACTAATTGCCCCGCCAAATGTTGCATGAAAGCGTTGCAAATTTTTAATAACATGGCATACAAATTTTGTGCTAAATTGTCAACATTACCAGCAGAAGGAGAGGCAGGAAAGGAACCACAGCAACAGCGACATCAGCAGGAGCAACAACAACAACAACAGCTACACTTGCAACCAGAAACCACAACAGCAGAACTTGCAACAGCACCACTTGACACAGTAGCAGCAGCACAAAGTAAGCCACAAAAACAACTAGAGGAGGTGCTCCCAAAAGCAGTCACAGATTCTACTATGGGGCACATTTATCATGGCTACCGTTTTTTGTTGTTTGGCGCTGCACGCTTTTGACCTGCAACGCGCGTGCCACCAGCAGTGGCAACAATGGCAAGCCGAAACGTTAACCTTGCCTTCAAATGATCTTTGATCTTATCTTGGGGCAGCAGCAGCAACATCAGCAACAGCAGCCGCAGCAGGTAAAAGTGTTGTAAATCAGTTGCATCTCTTCGCCATCTCTTTCCATCTGTGTACAAGCCATCTCTTTCACTCGCTGCATGGCCATCTCTTTCAGCTGTCTCTTTGTTCGCGCTGCTTTTCACTTCTTTTAGCTGCTGATTAATTGAAATTTCACATTTTTCAAGCTCTTCACAGCTCTTCATTAATCGCCCTGCCTCTCTCAGCCTGCATCAGCATAATGTGGGGCACGCCCCAGACATGTTGCAAGTGCCACTTTTGGGTTGTTCTGCTGTGCTGCCTGCCCCTGCTGCTGCTTCCTGCTCTTGCCTGCATTCGTTGTCCGTGGTTTAATGCGTTTTTAAAGTGCACAAACCACGCCCACGGGGCGTATGAAACCTTTTGCAGTTTCCAGCAATTAGCTCGGCGAATGTCATAAATGAACCACCAGAGCACCACACCACTGCACCACTCTCAGTTGCTGTCAAAAACTGCTCCGAACTAATGACAGTGCGATTGGAGCAGAAACTGGAATTGGAATGGGATTGTGGGATACGAGCTGAAGCCGGAGCATGCAGCTCCAGATGGAGTGGAGTGCAGTGGAGGCGAGTCGAGTCGAGTGGAGGAAGTGTGGCAAAGGCAAAGCAATTACACATGCAAATGGCTTGCCACAAACCTCAAACTGGAGCCCAGAGAAGATCATAAATCAGTTGTCAGTGGCGGGTGCCCTGTTTGTCGAAGCAAACCTCAAACTGCAGTCGGATGGCACGAGGAGAGGAGACACAGGCATAGGTATAGAAATCAAAGATCATTAAGTTTTTTTAGGCAAAATATCAATTAGTTTAGACAGCACAAAATCCACAGGCAAATAAACAAAATGTTAGCCAGAGGGAAACTACTTAATTCGCCACAAGAAAAGTTCTTCCATTCTTAAGGGGAAGGCCATGAAGCATGAACTGGTTGGCTGGCTTCCTCAGCCCACATTCCCCTTGGCAACATGAACTCAAACGGCAGTTGCAGTTGCCACACTGCGAGATGTTGCTGCAGCAACAAAATGTCGCCCAGCAGCAGCAGCAATTGCTGCTGACGTCGACGCGGCGACAAAAAACACGCTGCCAAGTGATGCGGCGCCCAGCAGCAGGCTGCACGTGGATGTGGCATAGTGGCACAGCAGCAACAGCAGCAACAGTAGTAGTAGTAGAAGAAGTAGAACTAGTAGCAGCAGCAGCTACTGGCAGCTGGGAGCTGGCAACGTGTGGCAGGCTAAAACCGCGTGGCAGCAACAAGAACAGCTTTGGCTTCGTGTGCGAGAGAGGTTTCGGCTGCTGCTGCTACTGCTGCTGCTGTTCGTGGGATTTAAGTTGAAGATGTTGCCATTGCCGTTGGGGGCCCAGAGTGTTGCTGTGGCATGTGGCATAGGGGAAATGGTTGAGGCTTTCCACGATCCCTATCCCTCTGGCTGCCCTCGTTAAAGTGCCAACATGTCCAGTTGCTTATCAGTCAACTCAGTTTTTCCGCCGCTTGTCATAAATTATGGGAACTGTTGCAGTTTTATGACCGCCTTTTGTTTGAACAGCAGGAACCCCAGAGTGGCACCCCCACACCCACACCCACAGTCACAGCCACTCACACTTATTCATACTCTGCACTCACTCACACTCGGGAGGGAAGACTCACGCGTGGCCGACGCGATAACTCATCCAAGTCACGCCGTCTGCCGCTGCCGGTCTCCGACATGTTCCGCTAGCCTTCGGAGGGAGTTCATCTAACAGCGGGAAGAGATGGTCTAAAAACCGCCTAGCATTTCCTGCCAATCCCTGTGGCATGCCCCTCCCTACACCCACCACCCTCCACCCACCATCCATCGCATTGCAAATCAGTTTTGAAATGCAGCGACGCACGCAAGAAATGAGCTCTCGTTTGAAATTCAAAAATTTTAGCCGCCTCCTTGCCGCACTCTACTCTACACCCTTTCGGAGTCGCCTCCCCACCCCCACCGCCACCATCTCTTCTGTGTGGCACTCCTCACTTATTCATTGGTGCGTGTGTTGGCAAATGCCAAACATTTTTAGATGCGACTGCGAACTGAAGCTTGTAAATACTTTGGAGTTTCGCAAAAGTGGAAAAAGATTTGCTGCCGTCGCAGTTTGAGGCATTTACTGTATAGTTGTTGCTGCTGCCACAGCAGCGAATTTGCTGTACGCGTCTTTTCCGCGCTGCGATTGGCATTCCTCTAGCAGTGGATGAAAATGGTGGCAGAGGCGGAGGCACTGGCGGGCCCTGTAACCGAGTCGGAAATGAGTGAAGCAAACATTTTTAATGCATTTTTAATTAATTTTTTGCTGCCTGAATGGTTGGGTGCAGGAGCAGAAGCAGGGGCAGGTGGCAGTTGGCAACGGAAGAAGACAAAGTTGCCACGGATGTTAACTGTAAACTGTTCTTGTCGTGGAATTGGTAAAGCCGGAACTTTTCCGCAGAGTCTTTTGCTATTAAAAGGATTGCGAAGACATTAAATAAAACAAAAAGGAATTCGTTAAACAATGGCGAGAATGTAAGTCGTGTTCTGAGTGTGGAAAGTGTGTTTTAGAGAGAGAAATATCCTAAACAATTGTTAGGCAGATTTAAAAAAGGGTTCCCCTTTTAAATACATCATTCAACATTTCCAAAGAAGATCTAAGAGTAGCAGAAACAGGAGGACAGATTCAACAGTTGCTAACGTAATTTTCCCATGGGATACCAGTGATACCAGTGACCCACATCCACATAAAAAATCACAGGCTAACGACATTCCGCACATGTTTTACCATCAGTTATTGAGACCCCCACTCATTCGAGCTCCGATCCCAATTGTATTTTAACCTGAACCATAATTTCCTAAGCTCAATTAGGACCAAATATCCCGTACCCAACAATCGTAAAAATCAACCCACCAGCCGCCCCACATTTATGTTAACGGAGAGCTAAAGCTACGAGCTATCTGCCTGCAGTTGGGAGTTAAACACACCTCTTTACGAGTATGAATACTATCCTCTGGCTTGAGCACTAACCCTAATGGAGCCATCAATTAATTAAGCAAAACGAAGCACCCAAGAAATAGTAGAAATTATCAATTACATGCCCCAAGAAGTGGGCATTAAAAATTATGAAACTCTCTAGAACCGAAATCCAACTACAACTACGAGCCACGAACCACGACTCCTCTATACCATAAAAAGCGACTGTTATCATAAAAGATAAGAAAGCGAGGCAGGTCGTAAACGAGGCGTGTGGATGCTGGAATGCCGAGTGTGGAGTGTCGAGTGTGGAGCGTATGTACATAGTTCCGCCAACTTGAGTTCCACAAACAATGTCCGTGTGAATGGAAGGAAACTGGTTGTTGCTGCCGCCGCTACAGCTGCTCTGTGCCGCTGCCACACAGCCACATCTACTGCCTCTGCCTCTGCCTCTGCTTGTGTGTGCCCCCCGCCTCTCTGTGTTCTCTGGGCTCCGGCACGGTCTGGCCCGGCCTGGCCTATTGAATGTGCATCAAAATTTATGTGGCCTTTTTTAGTCGTTTGCGTTGAGCCAGCGGAAGCGAACGTCGTCGTCGGAGCAGCAGCCTCACATCGCGCGTCGTGTGTTGCCGTCGTGATTCGAGTGGATAGTGGAATATATTTTGTGTACGACAGTGTTCAATTGCACTACCAACTACCATACGGTTACGAATGCGAGTACGAGTCTGAGCGGAGCGTCAGATCATTACAGAGAGGAAGCAGCAAGCGACTATTTCGTAATAGTCTCAAAAAAGTGTGTGCGAAAAGAGTTTAAACCACAAATTAAAACATTTTTGTATTTGAATTCATCAAAAAACAAGAGATTAATATTTTAGTATAATTTTAGAATTTGTAGCCCAATTTGTTAGCAATTCAAAAAAAAATATGGTAATTAAAAAGTGAACAAAAAGTCTTTCAAAATATGCACAAAATTAATTTTTGAACAAAGACACCAAATAAAAATAGTTTTCGTTATTATTTTGTATGAAAATTGTGAAATGTGGCTTTAAGTGTTTCCCAATATTTTCAAAAATCAAACTTCGTGCAAAGATCATTGAACAAAGACTTATTTCATGCACATATTGGTTTTGGGCCTGGCCGAGTGACCTTTCCATTCGTTGCGTTGAACTGCAACCTGTTGCTGGCATTTGTGGACACTTTTCCAAGCGGATGGAAATCCCACACGAAGAGCAAAGAGCTGCTCTGTGCTGTGCTTTGTGTGTACACTCCCAGTCTCTCATTTAAATAAGGTACGAGAACGATTACGAGTACGAGTAGGAGCATGTTATGTGTGTATGTTTAAACATCATTAAATAATTATGAAATCAGTTTAAATCTAAGCGCCCAAGACAGTGGAAATTAATCAAGCCGTGGTGGTGGGTAGGCAGAAATATGCAAATTAAATTGAGGAAGTCGCCGATTGTTACACTTTGTTGGCCAGCAGCAAAAGGAGAACTTGTTCTCTCCCCCCTCCCTATCCGCGTTTGCGGTGTGGTGTGTCTGTCTCTTTCTTCTGTCGAGAAGCGTGAGAATATTCACTGGCCATTAATTAGCAAAAAGAAATCATTTAAAAGTCATCGACAAGAGTGCGGGTTCCGCTAGGAGTGGGGCCATATGTGATGGTGGGACTCGGACTACCCAACTAATTGCTGAAGATCTTATAAGAAACGAACACGCTAGTCCCGGTCCCCTGGCTGCCGGCTGGCTGTGGAGGAGTGCAAAACAATTGAAGGAATGGAATTACCAGAAATATGCTCAAATCTCTGGCCAGAGATAATCCCCCTCACCGAATGCCAGCCCCGATGTCTTAAAGTGCTCGTGAACAGCATAAATCACACCCCAGTCCGAGGTAACCATGTTGCACAGCATGGTACAGAGCCGCAGAGCCGTAGAGTCGAGAGCCCGAGCCAATACCCATACACAGACTCATTAAGGTTTTAATTTACAAGTTTAACTGGAGATTTAAACACTGAGATTTATATGCGTGCCGCGAGAGGCAATAATCAACGGCAACAACCCGCAATCACGTAGTGCTACAAAACCAGCAACAAATCCCAGGCAACACAACATGCGCCAATGTCCACCTACGCAGATTGGTTAAACAAACCCTCAATAAGAGGGGGAGGGGGGGTCCGCGAGGGTAGGCTCTGGCTCCGCCTGTTTCTGTGCCTGTGTCTGGGTGTAATCGAATATGCAACTCATGAGGGAAACTTTAAAACAAAACATGACAACTGCAACATCAGCCGCAGCCGCAGCCGCAGCCGCAGCCACAGCAACAGCAACAACAACAACAACAACGCAGACGATGAAGATTTGTGCAAACAGACAGACATTAAAATCATTTAGTTGGCAGAGAAGGAAGATGATGCTCACCCAAAGAAGAAATCCAGAAAGAAAGTGCACGAAGATCTATATACCCTTGAAGATCGGGCGCTCTTTTAGCTGGGAAATTGAATACAATTTTCAATGATAATTCCTATGATAAAAAGAATTATAAGGCACTAGTTTATATAGAACCAGTCCTCTGGCATGGCCAGGTCGATTCTATATAGTTTATACGATCGTAAAAGCTTCGTTCTGTGCCTAGCCAAACAACTAGCAAAAATCGGTACACCCTTCTGCATATAGGGTATAGAAAAAACCGAAATTACAGCGTTCATTAAGAAAGAAGAAGGAAGCAGGGGGAAGGGTAAGGGGTTTGTCGGAGGCCTGACCTTACACAACAGCAGCAGGAGCACTACTGGGGGCAGCATCGGTAGCAGCAGTAAGAGACACAGGCCCATCAGCAGCATCCGAAATAGCAGGAGTAGAAGAGGCAGTGGGGGCAGGGGTTCAGCTGCAGCCACGCACCTGCAACAGCCGCCAATCACTCGGCGACAGCAGCAGCAGCATCAGCAGCATCAGCAGCAGAAACAGAGACTTGAACGGGAAGTACAAGGAGAAGACTCTCTGGGAGCAACACGTGCATGTGATTTGAGAGACAAAAACCGTTCTAATTTCTCAACTGTCAGCTGAGAGATGCAACCTCCCCGCCCGGAGCATCGCCCCCTCTCCACACTCCTGACCCAACTCGTTAGCCGACTCTGTTGCCATAGCAATTATGTGTGTGGCAGCCACATAGCAGCACAAAAGAAGTTCGGCATTGGCTGCTGTTGCACTGGCACTGGTTTTGGCTCTTGGCTCTCGGCTTTTGCTCATGTCTTCATTTTGGACCTTTTTGCACGAGCAACAGCAGCAACAAAAGCTACACATGTTGCAAGAAGAAAAAGTAACAAACAAACAGGCAGCAGAAACGCTTTTGTTTGTTTGTTTGCATTTCTTTGGCAACACTTTTGGCCTTTGGCGCTGATGTTAACCCCACTGTGGCACACTGGCTCATCGCTGGCACCCGCCCTTGTTGGCTTTATTAGGCAACCGCAGCAAAGTCACTTGCTGCAACACCAAAAGCAAAATAAACAACACCAACAGCAACGTTACTAAAAGAAACCCCCCTTTAAAAGTAGCAACAACACAAATCTGGTGGCTTTTAATGCACTTTGAATGGGGTATTACGATCTTGCAGTTATGTTTGCAATGCGGAAAATAAAAAGGTTCAGACGCCATAGAATATAAGGATTACTAGTGGAACACATTTGAAACTTTATTGAATCCCAATGAAGAGGCAACCAAACCTTTCAAGTCATAAATATGCCCTCAAATGTAACCCAAGCAAAACCGCTCGAATGTAAATCCCCTTTCATCTTAGTCTTTCCAAATCAGATGACTATATTCTATACGAGAATCTGTCATAGCAGAATCCGCGCAAGAGTATCCAAAGTTTCGACCACCCCAAAAAGTCATTCTTCATTTCTTCCTTAATAGTTTTTTAGCTTGAAACAAGTTTTTTTAGCTGGAAACTTGGGTCGCGGGGACCCTCTGGTGTTGACGTACCCGCTGGTTGTCGATTTGGTTTTGCTGCTCATTCGCTGGCCACTATCCCCTACCCTGCTGTGCCCCTCCTCGCTGTCTCTAATTTGCACCGCTTTAATTTTTGCCTTTTTATTTGCAACACTTGTCGTTTAAATGCAGCAGCAGCAGCAACAGCCGGGCAAAGTGTGGCCAATAAATTAAAGCAAGCCAAAAAAAAAGGAAAACAACAAAAAAGAAACACTGACTCGGCCAGAAATATCATCAAAAGAGCAAGTGCCTGTTGGCTGGTCTGCCTGGTGTTTGCGATTCAGTGGTCCGCAGAAGGAAATTATCTATGTGTGGCGGCTGCCAGGTTCTCAGCTCAGCCTCGAAAGGAGTCTCGAAATCCCCCCACCCCCCACACTATCCAGTTGCCAGTTCCCAGCCCCCAGTTTTAGGTCTCCGACTGTTGGTTATTCCGTGGCATGGCACAATCGCAACAAATGGCATTTTTATTGATATTTCGCTCGGTTTGCCTGGCAGCCGCATGTTGAAATATGCGCGCCACCTGTTGATTTTGTTTGGCGATTGCCACAAGGCAATCTCAGCACTCAGGGGCCGCGCGAACTGCAGGAGGAGTACACTAGCACTCCATCGTAGGAGCTGAGCTGAGTTGCCTCTGGGCCTGGGGTCTGCTTGGGTCTGCTCGTGATTTGCAGTGCAAATTAAAAGCGAGGGCGCTGCATATAAATAGCAATTTGGACAGGGGAATTAAGGTAAACGACTGCGGCAACTACAAATCTCACAGCGAAGAACTAGAAAATACGGAGATCGTTCAGTTTGTCTGTCACATAATGGAGTGGCATTATATCAACGGCGTGACTTTAATTTCAAACAAATTAAACGGAGGAAGCGGAAAAGGAGGAGGTGCATAAAAATAGAATAGAATGGAAACCAAATGAAGTTGGAATTGGAATTACGTTAGATCAAATCCTTCAGGAATACCACAAAGAATATAATATATTACCCTGAAGAAATATCTCTAGAAATGGAGAATAGAATAGAATAAATATAGAAATAGAAAACGAAAACGAATATAGAAGGCTTCTCTTCTATTTAACTTTAATTAAGTAATTTATACCAACATTTCTTTGAAAAAGAATCAAGCCCACCAGTTGGCATATGTAAAACCACTTTCTAAGCCTAAATACTTCCCATTGGTTCCACTTCCACGAACCACAAAGCCTTTTAGTTTTCTGTGAAACACTAAAATCATCGACTGCATCTGCAACCTCCAAAAAAAACTAAATACCCAACGATTCGGGCAACTAAATTCCAATTTTATCACTTGCTTGCTTACCCACTCGAAAGTCTCAACTTTATCAGACGAATTGCATCCAATTAAAGGTTTTTTCCGAGTATTGTGTGGATTGCATTTTCGTTTGCTCTAATAAGATAAGCCTGACAAGGCAGTGGGACGGGGAAAAGGGGAAATGGAAATGCATTTGCAGCTAGAGCTGGAGCGAGCCCTAAGCCCCCTGCTATAAAGTCGTAGATGTTGACAGAGAGACGACAGCCGGAGATGTAGATAAAGCGCTGATAAGCAGCAAATTTGACAGCCATAAAGCAAACAACAAACTGACGGACAGGTAGAAGATATATGGGAGTGGGAACTGAAATTACTCTAAAGCAAAAGCAGGAGGAGAGACTATCGAAGTCGGAGGGCAATGAAAATTAATGAAACCTGTTTCCAGCATTCCTTTTCTTTGCTTTTTATTGTATTCCGTCTGTCGTTTAATTAAAAGACAATCAAAAGCTGAGGCCGATGGGGCAGCTGGAGATCCCCTGGAACACAGAAACAAAGGCGGAATGGAGCTGAATCCTACCCCGAAGATGCCAAGAGTTCATCATGAGAATCCAGAGCAGAGAATCCCAAGCTTCAGACTGCATGAGGCAACTGGAACTGAACCTGCGACTACACAAAAAAAAAACCTGCTTCGGGATTCTTTATCGACATGTTTATGGGCTTCGTATGCCCCCGAGTATCCAGAACAAGAAGTCCAACAAATGTATAAATATTTACACGAAATATTTACGATTAGGAAGGGAAGCAGGAGGCAGGCGGGCAGGCACAGTCACAGAGCCACAGTGGGGCAATGGCAACCGCAATATCGCCGCCTCTTAATGAAATGCTAACGATATTCATTGGAAAAATCAAAAGCGTAACGAGCCAAGTGAAAACCGCAGAGATGCCAACAGGCAGGCCACAGCCTCGGCTCGGCAACGGGATAGACCCTGGCTCTGGCCATAAGAAGCCGCAGCGGCAGCAGCTGAGTTTACATTACAAAATGTTGCAACAAAA